ATTTGAACATTTGTCTCCAGAGTCCTAATACAACATTCAAACCACTACACTATATCCAAAAGAATATAAATTTTGCAAAACTGGAAGTTGACTCCAATAAGTTGTAATGCCTTTGTCAGGTTTTTTTTTGGGGGGGGGGGGGGTTGGCCGGGGAGAGGGGGCATTTTTGGTAACCCGTGTGGTCCTCCAGAAGGTCCTGGGGCAGAAAACTGGATCCAGTGAAATTGTCTAGACCTGTTCTGGATAAAGAGCAAGGAGAGAAGCTAGATTCCGGGACATGTTCAAGCAAGGAGGACACAAATGCCAGCAGGCAAGCCACTTCTGCCAAATTTTCAACAGTACCGTCTCAGAGGCCAGGCAAGAGAAAGCTCAAGACTAAAGCAAGAAAACTCACTGGAATCTCTTCCAGCTTCGGATGTCCCAGCCACTGCCGCCTAGAGAACCTCTCTTCTGAGTCCCAGCCATGGCTAGCCGCCGGATACACCACTCCCAAACCAAACACCAGCTATACCTGCTGGGTTGCAATCTGGCCCTTTATAGGGAGAGGGTGGAGCTGTGTTGGAAATCTCTAGAGGACAGAAAACAGGGCCAACTCCATTCCTGCCTGACCTTGTTTGAATATGATTTCTCTGAAAATCCTGCAGAGCCTGGTACAAGGCTGGTGGCTGTAAACTCCTGCGGGCCACACGAGATAATGTGTAGTGAGCCTATTTTTTATCCCTCACAATTGCAGTCCAACTGATTTTATTGCAACTTGCCCATCAGCATGGAGCAGAATTGCAGCCATGGGCATAAAGTGGTGAATCATGTTTTTATAGGATTGATTTGCCAGAGGTAAAGAGAGAACCATGCCCGCTGAAGCCTGTCCTGAGAGGCAGAAAATAAGAAAATGGTGCATTTCCTGACATGGAGAGAAATGGTGGCGCAATTAACCAATGCTGTTTGTAACCCACACAACTTAGTGATCAGATAAGATCAGTGAAGTTTGGATGCAATATTTTTTCTTGCTTCAATGTCATTACTTATTTACATAATATCCATCACGCATTGGTATGGCCAACCTTCCCTCCTTCCTTCGCTTCTTCCTTTCCTCCTTTTTTTCTTTCCTTTTCTCCTTCCTTCCTACTCTACCTCTTTCCTTCCTTTGCTTTTTGCTTCCATCCTTCATTCTGTCTTTCCTTCCCTCCCTCTTTCTCTCTTTTCTTCCTTCTCTACCTCTTTCCCCCCTTCCATCGCTCCCTTTCCTTCTGTCCTTCCTTCTCTACCTTTTTCCCCTTCCCYCTTTTTTCTTTTCCTCTTTCTCGCCTTCCTTCCTTCTCTACCTCTTTCCTTTCTTCATTTGCTTTTTGGTTCCATCCTTCCTCTTTCTCTCTTTCTTTCTCTTCTTCCTTCTCTCTCTCTCTCCCCCCCCCCTTTCCTTCCTTTCCTTCTCTCCTGCCTTCCTTCCTTTTCTGCCCCTTTCTTTCCTCCCCCCCCTTTCTCTCCTTTCTTTCTTCTCTACCTCTTTCCTTCCTTCCTTCGCTCTTTGCTTCCATGCAAAAAAAAAAGGGAAAAAAGAGGTAGAAAAAAGAGGGAAGGAGAAAATAAAGAAAGGTAGGTAGGTAGATAGGAAATGAGAGGAAAAGAATTCAGGAAGTATGGTGTAGTGGTTTGAACCTTAGACTGTGGCTTTGGACACTGGATGATTTAACCAAGTCTCTCAGCCTCAGAGGAAGAAAAAGGCAAGAAAGTTCTGTGATAGGGTTGCCTTAGGGTCACCCTAAATCTGAAATGACTTGAACACACACAACAACAACAAACTATAGTCTGGGCCACCAACAGTTTGAGGGACTGTGAACTGGCCCTGTTTCAAAAGTTTGAGGACTCCTGACTTTACTGCTGGCAGGTAGGCACACTGTTAGTGGAAACATTATATGAGTGTTACAAAATGCATCCTGCTGTTTGCAATAACACAATCTTGCAATATTCCCATCACCTAGCTTGGTCCAACTTCAATGTCAGTATGTATGCCTCATGTGATAGTCTATAGATATTATTGCTGGGTTGTTGTCTTTCTTCCTACAAGTCTCAGGGCCCTTCCACACAGCCCTATATCCCAGGATATCAAGGCAGAAAATCCCACATTATCTGGACTCAGATAACCCAGTTCAAAGCAGATATTGTGGGATTTTCTGCCTTGATATTCTGGGATGTAGGGCTGTGTGGAAGGGCCCTGAGTCTATTTGCCTTATGTCTGTTATAACAGGCTGTCTTCTCAAGCTTTCCTTTCTTCTCATGATGTGGCCAAAATACTTCGCCTTTGCCTCCACTATCCTTCCCTCCAATGAGCAGTCGGGCTTTATTTTCCTTGAGTATGGACTGGTTGGATCTTCTGGCGGTCCAAGGCACTCTCAGAACTTTCCTCCAACACCACAGGCCATCCGTCTCCTTTTTCAAAGTTCCATTTGTGAGCCACAGCCATGTTTTTTCTTTGTCAATTTGGCTTTCAGTTTTTCCCAGGAACTGTCCATGGAGAGCCGTCTCTCACCAGTTTTCTTTTCTGCTCTGCATTGTGTTTTTATGATATTTGTTCTGTCGCCACTGGGTCCAAACAAAATGTCTTTATTCTATAGAACGCACACTTTAAACCCAGTGGGAAGCCGGGGTGCCCGAAGAGAGATTGTTAGAGACTTCCAAAAGTAATGGGCCTTAGAGTCTTTAAAAGTACAACAAAGTCTTTATTAAGGAACAAATCTTCAAACAAAACTTCACGGCTTTACTATTCAAGTCTTTAAGAGACTGGCACTAACTTGGTTTGACTGTACTATCTCATAAGGAAGAACTCTTTATAATCCCTCCCAGGCCGTCCATCACCTAGGCCTCGCTGGTCTGGGTAATACTGCCGATCCCCAAATGCGTCTGGAAACCGAGTAACCTACCAGACGAAGCTAGAAGATGTTTAGCTGGAATTCTGTGGTTCTGCAGTGATGTCCTGTGGAAACTTCAGGGCTGTTTTCCCTCTGGTGCTGTGAGGCTGAGAGGCTGTGAGCTCTCAGCCAGAGCGTTTGGGACCTTTTCCTTCTGTTTCCCTGGAACTGGATGGTCACTGGATGACCCCTGGATGGTCGCTGGATGGACCCAGGATCACCTTTGGATGATCCCCGGATGGCTATTTCTATTTCCCCGGAAGGTTTTGAGGAATGAAGCCTTTCCTACGGGACTAGCTGATCTGCGTCCTATAGACTGGCTTCCTTGTGTGACTGACTGAAAAATGGCCCCTTCCCTCCAAAAACTCAAGAAGGGGCGGGACCAGGGAACCTAACTATAATTGGCAGGTGGCTTACTCTATGATTGCAGCCTATAACAGGAAGCCACCCTGCCGCAAAATCCCAACCCTGGGATTGCAAACAAACATTAAACACAGCAAATAAATCTGGAGCTCCTGGAACAGCTGTTCCAGAACAATATTCACTCTTTGTCTTTTGCACTTGAAGCAGTTTACTACTATTGACTTCCTTCAAAGTTGGTTCTTGACTGCCTTTCACATTATTATTATTATTATTATTATTATTATTATTATTATTAGTAGTAGTAGTAGTAGTATTTCCATTCAGTCCACACAAGCACCTTGGGGTCTTCCTATTGCCTCAGATCAGCACTTGCCTTCCCTCAGCTATGTAAAGCCAGACTGGGGAAACCAGCCTTCCAAATGCGTTGGGCACCTTCCACAAGTGGGATTGGTGTTTAATCTACACTACTATATAACCCAGTTTATGAATCCAGGGTATCTGCTTTGAACTGGATTATATGGCAGTGTAGATCCAGCCTGGGAATTGTTGCTGAACAAAAGATCCCCACTCTTGTCACATGGCGCAATGTTGTTGTTCATTTGTTCAGTCGCTACCGACTCTTTGTGACCTCATGGACCAACCCACGCCAGAGCTCTCTGTTGGCCGTCACCACCCCCATCTCCTTCAAGGTCAATCCAGTCACTTCAAGGATCCCATCCCTCCATCTTGCCCTTGGTCAGCCCCTCTTCCTTCCATTTTCCCCAGCATCATTGACTTCGCTAAGCTTTCCTGTCTTCTTATGATGTGGCCAAAATACTTCGTCTTTGTCTCTAATATCATTCCCTCCAATGAGCAGTCGGGCTTGATTTCCTGAAGTATGGACTGGTTGTATCTTCTTGCAGTCCAAGGAACTCTCATAACTTTGCTCCAAGACCACAGCTCAAAAGCATCTTCCTTCGCTCAGCCTTCCCTATGGTCCAACTCTCACACCCTGACTACAGGGAATACCATTGCTTTAACTATACGGATCTTCGTTCCCAGTGTGATGTCTTTACAATGTCCAGGATGGGAAAAAGAACTCTTGTCTGCTTGAGGCAAGTGTGAATGTTGCAATTGGCCACCCTGATTAACATTTAATGGCCTTGCAGCTTCAAAGCCCGTCATTCCGCAGATAGATAAACCTCAATTGCCTAGTTTCCAAGAGACCTCACAACTTCTGAGGATGCCTGCCATAGATGTGGGCAAAACATCAGGACAGAATACTTCTGGAACATACAGCCCACAAAACTCACAACAACCCAGGTTGCAAAACTGTCAATATGGTGCAATGTAAGGGTGCAATACAGGCCAAGGAAACTGCAGTTGATGATAAAACTACCATCCCCTCCACTAAGATCTGACATCAACTGAGGCTGCACCTCTGTACCCAGGAACCAGGGAGTGAGCTCCTGTAAAATTTAATCTAAAAACACCTATACGTAAATAATATCAAAATCTGGGGTTCCCTCTTCATTCTTTCTGCCCCTGAGCCACTCAAAATGACAATCAGAATCTTTCAGGAAGGAAATGCACACTACGCATGCGCACCCAGCCAGTCCTGACGCCATGCACAAACAAAGGCTTTGAAACATCAGCGGGCGGAGCTAGACAGGAAGCGGTGACTCAGTGGGAGGGAGAGAGGGAAGGGGGCGGGGCTTCGCTGGCTTCCAATCGGGACCCGCCGAATTGTCCGCGCGCAGCGGAGGGGGCGGGGAAATTCCGGCTTTGAATAAAAGCGAGGGAGAAAGCGAAGATGGGTGACCTGCTTCCGGCTGAAGTCGGGCCTGGGAGGAAAATGGCAGTGGAGGCGGAGGCCAGGGCTGGCGAGTGAGTGACTTCATTTTGGCGTGCAAAAGGACCTTTGAGATAAAGGAGCCCGGTAGCGTCAGCTTTGGGAGGCTTCAGTCAAATGCGAACCTTTTCTTCCTATTCTGTGTAGGAATAAACGACACTTCAGGCAATTGCAATAGCCCACCTTGATTAGCATTGAATGGCCTTGCAGCTTCAAAGCCTGGTCATTCCACAGAAAGATAAACTTCACCCGCCTAGTTTCCAACAGACCTCACAACCTCTACCCCCTGCTATACATGTGGGTGAAACGTCAGGAGAGAATGCTTCTGGAACATGGCCATACAGCCCCAAAAACTCACAACAACCCAGGTTGCAAAACACTCACTTTCCCAGCCCACCCATGTGGGGAAAAAATTAGATTTAGGAATATTTGGGGGTTTTGAATTCTAAATAAGGAATGTTTCACCTGTGCAAATTAGGCTTGCCTTTCTCGGGTAATACTAATGGTGGCAGAAAGGAGAAGTCAGATGAATTTGAAAGCGTGCTTAAGAGCAGTATGGTGGAATAAAGATAGAAACTGCAGTATTTTGAATCTATTAAACCGCTGAACTTTCTGACCAAAAGGTCGGTGGTTTGAATCTGGGGAGCGGGGTGAGCTCTCGCTGCTAGCCCCAGCTTCTGCTAACCTACCTGATCTGTGTGTTTTTAATGGGTCTTTCCTGTATCTTGGTATGGTACACTGAAAAACTGGCACTGCATGGCTTTGCTCTCAAAATGCCCTTTATCAATTCAGAACTTATGTTTATAGGCTTCCTCTTAGTTGCAAGAAAACAGGAACATTGGATTCTGAGGATCAAAATAAAGTTGGATTCAAATTGCTGGGTGGGGGGGCGGGGGGGAATTCCACTCAAGCATTAGGAACAACTTCCTGACAGTAAGGGCTGTTTGGTAGTGGAATATGATTCCTCGGAAAATGCTGGAGTCTCCTTATCTGGAGGTTTTTAAAGCAAGAGGCTGGAAGGCCATCTGTTGGGGGTGCTTTGACTGTAGTTTTCCTGCATGGCAGAAGGAGGTTGGACTGGGAGCCCTTGGGGTCCCTTCCAACTCTGGTTCCATGATTCTATATTTTTTTCCATTAAATTTTTATTGAAATATATATCATTACAAGGAAAGTGGGGGAATATTGTGTATTGTCTAACATGACCGATTGCAGAACCACAACCCAAACAAATAAGTCTTGTGTGCATATGTATGGAAGCTTTTCCATGTAAACATATGCACCATATCACTGCCATTATGCTGTTGTAGAGACACAGACAAGTTCCTCTGCTAGTGTGGGAATCGAAGGCATGATGGATGGAATCTCTTTCTGAAAGCTATAATGTTTGGAAAGTCAATGTTCTTTTCCCCTGATATGGCGATTTCTTATGCTGTCCTCAGACTCCTGGTTCAGATGAAGGACATACTGACCTCCGAGGGCCAAGGCAAAGAAGGAGCGGAGGCACAGCTCCCAGCTCAGGTCTTGGCTGAACATGCAGTGGTGAGTGGCTGAACACGGTCCCTTCAATCTCTGCTTGTTTTAAAATGCCGGGGGCAACTTGTGCTTCCAGAACACTAGTGTCAATACCTCCTTTCCCCTTTGGCTTGTACTTTCCAGAAAACCAGGAAGACTCACAAACTGATGTACACTCAGTTACAAGTGATGAAATTCCTCCTGGATTTCCTTGACTCAGGCCCTTCTATCCAGGAAGACTCTACTGCAGCTGTTCGTAAGTATACATGCACCAAGGAACACAGGCAGCTGTGTGTCCAAATGTACATTGGTCAAGAAGGCACTTTTATAATTGCATATTGTTTATCTTATTTAATTCTGTATTGGATTCGCCAGCTGTGCACGTTAAGTAAAGAGAGAGTGCCCTGGCATTAAGTGAAAATGTGCCATAGCGTTACTTTGCTTTCCTGTCACAGAAGATGGTAGGCTTCAATTTCCACTTGCCTTAGTTAGAACTGGCGCCAGCTGGAGTTGTTCAAGGGGGCCGTGCCTTACCTCCTGGCCAAACTAGTGAGTGATAATTGGAGGTGAAGTTCCAGAACATCATTCTTAGAGCATCAGTTCTCAAACTGTGCTCTGCAGAGGGTTTAGGGCTCTGTGAAGGGGCCTGGTGTTTTGACATACGTGGTTTAATGGTAGGACCATAAATACTAGTCTTCATTTGGCCTAAAGCTCTTCCTTCAAGAAACCTGAAATAAGTAATCCAACATTTAGAATATCAGGGAGGGGACCATTCAAAAGCTAGGGATGACTAGATAATGACATATTAGTTAATGGAGGGTGGGTATCTACGAGGGGTATTTTTTAAGTAATGTCCGTTTTGTTGTAGACACTAGTAGTTCGCGCGCATACCGCAACGAGCACGTGCGTCATGTACCGGCATGCCTCGGGAACAACTGTGCTCAGATTCCGCTCTGTAGTTAACCTGTATGGTTTTGTTCTGTGCTTTAAAAATGTTTAAGACTATCAACTCACCTGCCACATGTGGTTTGCTCAGTGATACGGTTTTTGTCAGCAAGGAACCTGCCTGCTGCAGAAATTCATCGGCGGGTGAGTTGATAGTCTTAAACATTTTTAAAGCACAGAACAGAACCGTACAGGTTAGCTACAGAGCGGAAACTGAGCACAGTTGTTCCCGAGGCATGCCGGTACACGACGCACGCGCTCGTTGCGGTATGCGCGCGAACTACTAGTGTCTACAACAAAACGGACCTTACTTAAAAAATACCCCTCGTATATACAGTGTAAGTCTGATTTCTCACTCTGCTCTTTCAGGAATCCACTGTAGCCTGATTTGGAAATGCTTGCTTTGTGTTGGTAGAGTAAAGGTTTCCCTTTGACATTAAGTCTAGTCGAGTCTGACTCTGGGGGTTGGTGCTCATCTCCATTTCTAAGCTGAAGAGCCGGTGTTGTCTGTAGACGCCTCCAAGGTCATGTGGCCAGCATGACTGCATGGAGCGCTGTTACCTTCTTGCAGAAGTGGTATCTATTGATTTACTCACATTTTCATGCTTTCGAACTGCTGGCTTGGCAGAAGCTGGGGCTAACAGCGGGAGCTCATCCTGCTACCCAGATTCAAACAGCTGATCTTTTGATCAGCAACTTCAGCAGCTCAACGGTTTAACCCACTGCGCCACAAAGGGGGCAGCGGGTAGTTTGGAAATTCACTTTGCGACCAGAGTTTTGGCTCCTTTGTATCCCATGTATATCCATATAGAAGTCAACCTCATGTATATGTTGAGGGCAGCTTTGCGACAAAAAATTTGGGTTATACGACCTGTGGTTAAGTTGAGGGTAATTCCACAGAGAGGCGAATGTGCTAGCGCCACTTCAGAGGCAAGCTGTCCTGGCTATCACAATGTTTCTGCCTTGAGCATTCATAAATACTGGAAATGGGGTCATGAAGGAGAGAACAAAGAGGTTGGCCATTTAAAAACAAAACATTTTCATAGGATTCACTTTGTTGACAACCCCTTTGTTTATAAGAGTACAGAATTGGCTTGTCAATAAGTTGAGCCAGATTTTTTGCATCAATTTTTAAAACTAAACTTAAACATGAGTATTTTCCCTAACTCTTCTCACTGGGCATTTCTTATGCAGGGAAGGAGATGTTAGAAGCAAAACAGCAATGGAAGGCACTCAAAGCAGAGTACGAGCAGCAAGTGGAGTTGATCAAGGGGGCTGTGCCTCTCTTACTGGCCAAACTGGAGGAAGGGGAGAAGCGGTCCCAGCTCTTGGAGAGTGCCTTGCAGCGCTATCAGGCCACGGTTGGTTTCGGGCTGGGGTTGGCACTTCAGGTGGAGAATTTGAATGGAGGGTCTCCATTTTTATTGCCTAAGCAAACAAACCTCTAGAGTTTAAGATATCAAAAGTTCTTTTAATGTTTATGTATTGTGTAGATGTTATTCAGAAGTGCTTTTGTCACATTTCTTGTGGAAATTCTTAAGAGCAACTGCCAAAAAATAAAAATAAATACCTATTACAGATAACACTGTACTACTTAGTTACATGTTTGAAACTACAAATGAAGGTAGCCATTAATAGTAGCAGTTTCTAAAATGTTAGTATTTTTAAATTTCTCTCCCATTTTTCTCTCAAATGTGATTCAAACCAGTGTAAATTAAAAGAGAATATCTAAAACAATATGGTGTGCAAAAGTGTTTGGAAAGCATTAAGCACACATCCTTTTAAAACACTACTTCAAATACATAATTAAATTGCTTGGAACACAAATTGCATATTGAAACCATCATGCAAATTGTTTATTATTTTTCTGTAGTCAGTAGGCTGAAGTTCTGCTTTATTTATTTGATTTATATATATTTACGAAATTAAATGTAATATATTGTTGAAGGCTTTTATGGCTGGAATCACTGAGTTGTTGGGAATTTTCTGGGCTGTATGGCCATGTTCCAGAAGCATTTTCTCCTGACGTTTTGCCCACAGCTTTGGCAGGCATCCTCAGTGGTTGAGAGGTCAGTTGGTAACCAGGCCAGTGAGGTTTCTATATCTGGAATATCCAGAATGGCAGAAAGAACTCTGGTCTGTTGTCGATTGTCAAGCATGTGGACAATTTCAACAGAAAGGAGGAAACCATGAAAATGAACAAAATCTGGCTATGTTCAGTATTTTGACTAAATTTTAAACATGCACAGAATTATGCTGCAAAAGACCATCCAGAGAGAGCCAGGAAAATTTCCACAAAGAGGGCATTCTGTAAACTGGGCACTACTCCCAATGAGGCTCTCTGTTTTGTACATTAGTCTTGAAAAAACAATATAGAGAGGAGGACATTTACAGAAAAATTTAAATTGTAGGCCGATATGGGAGTAGAAGGTAGCTGGAATCCTATTGGTAATTCCAGTTACAGTAGCCTCATTTAATCAATTGACCATATAACCCACTGATTCAATTGGGCTTCTCTAGTCAGGTATAATGATAGGATTTAGGTTTGTATGTGAGGCAACCAAGATAAACAGTTTACCAGACTCCTTCATATTTTAAGATGTGCTTAGAAATATTGCTTAAACTGACACAATATCTTTTTTCAGGGTGAAGGACATTACTTTCCTTCCCAAACAGGCAAGTGATGTTACCCTAGGATTGGCATCCCCCACAAATCCAGGCCTGTTTTTTTACACAGTCCCACTGAATACCTTTGCCACTGCCACATTATGATGAAACTTGGCAGCAGAAAGAAAAGCAACAAGCACTTCCTTATTGACATATTCAGAATGACATATTAACACCCAAGGATCAAAATACTAAATTTACAGAATTTGCAAGACTTGCTAAAAGAGATGGTTTTCCTTTTTAATGAAGTCTAGCTGAAGCATTTTCTTTTGCAAGTTGTGGCCCTCAGATTTGTGTAAATAAATGGGTGGCATTCAAAACCTTTTACTGTTGCCAGTTTTATTTATTTATTTATTTATTTATTTATTTTGGCAAGCCCAACATTGAGCTCAAGGGGACCCATTTTGGATTGGAATCCACAGTTTAAAAAGCAATGATGTAGACTATATTTCAGAGGAAGGAACTGGCAAAACCACTTCTTGAATTTTTCTTGCCTAAGAAAAATCCCACAAAATTGATGGTCTTGCCATGAATTGATAGACATCTTGAAGCATATACACAAAGGAGTAACTCATCTGTAATTCTCAGTTTGTTTTTCTACATTTTAATGATGTTTTATACCCAGCTGTTTTTAATTGTCTAATTAGATTATGATGTCATGTTTTAAACTGTGTTTTTAGCTGGTAAACTGTTGTTTGCTCTGGGTTTGGTCCCACATATAAGCTGCCCCGAGTCCCTTCGGGAAGATGGTGGTAGGATGTAAAAATAAAGCTGTTGTTGTTGCTGTTAGTATTGTTGTTATATGTACACATTTTGACCAGCTGCTAATTTGGGTGTGGTGGGTTTACTACAAATATACTTCACTTTTATACCTTCCTTGCAGAAACAGGAGATGGAGGACAAGGCAAAGATTGCCCGCTCCAAGCACCAGAAAAAACAGGCAGGTGCATCAGGGTTAATACAATTCAAGGGTGGGGGAAAACAGCCACTTGGTTCCTTTACTCTTGATTCTTTTTGATATTTCCATGGTAGGAGGCTTTGAGTGAGCAGCAGCAACAGCTAGAAAGTCATGTCGCAGAACTACAGGAAAGGCTACAGAAACATAGGAAAGAGCTGCAAAGCCTGCAGGGGATTGTGGACGAGCAAGAGGGCCAGATTTGCATCTGGAGAGAGAAGCTTCAGAGGTGAGTCATCTTAGTTTGTCCTAAGTACCTTATAGGCACTAGATATGGTCTGATCTTGGAAACTAGGCAGGGTTAGTCATGGTTAGTACTTGGATACTATTACAACTTTAGGCTATCCCTTGCGGCCATGTATGATTGTCTTCTAAGGGTAGAGTCTTAGCGGTGGGTCTGTAAAGTGACTGTAGGGCAGGGGTTCTCAACCTGTGGGTCCCCAGATGTTTTGGCCTTCAACTCCCAGAAATCCTAACAGCTGGTAAACTGGCTGGGGTTTCTGGGAGTTGTAGGCCAAAACACCTGGGGATCCACAGGTTGAGAACCACTCCTGTAAGGACCTATTCTGGATTCACATGATCTGTCACAATGAAGTTATAGATTTCCAGGTAGAACGTGGTTACAATAAGGATTATCAATTAATACCAGATGCTGTGGACTATATTTCAAGGTCATGTGGCCTGCATGACTGCATGGAGCGCCATTACCTTCCTGCAGAAGCAGTACCTATTGATCTACTCACATTTGCATGTTTTCGAACTGCTAGGTTGGCAGAAGCTGAGCCTAAGAGCAGGAGCAGACCCCGTTCCTTGGATTCAAGCTGTCAACCTTTCGGTCAGCAAGTTCAGCAGCTCAGCGGTTTAACAGGTTGAACCACTAGGAGACCCAATACCATAGGGAAGGATTAACACCCTGTGGTGTTTGTCTTGCTGTCCGTCCCTCTCATAATTGAATTTTGGAAAAAAACTGGCTTGTTGTGGAAAAAAGGATTGGTAGTAAAGTTTCAGTGGAGACACCTTTTGCCCGTGATAACTCTTTCAGTAGTGAATTTTCCTTCCTAGGGGTAGATTTCTTTCACTTCCTGGTGTCTTACCCCCGTTCTTACATCCACAGGATCACCTTAAGTCAAAAGTGGACAATTATTCTTATATTTAAAATCAACTTGCAGGGACTCTAAGAAGAATGTCTCCAAAGGTTATGTCTGGCAGCAGATACTATTCCAATTGTTTTCCAGGACATCTTTGTTGTAACTGTTCAACAGCAGAATTAGGGATGTAGGAGATGTGTGAAAATGCAAGTTTTGGAGTAGATGGATGAATTATTTGTGCAACATAGCAACGTAGGGTTAGTTGTGTATTCTGGGATGCAGTGCTTGAGTCCCTTAGTCCATAATTTAGACTTTGCAGAACTCAGAAAAGTTACTTTTTAGGGTTTTAGAAATCATCTGATTCCTTTAGCCAGCTTACCCAGTAGCCATGGTGGTTGGCTCTTTGGGGAATATTAGTCCAAGAGCCCCTGATGGCGCAGTGGGTTAAACCCTTGTGCTGGCAGGACTGATGACCGAGAGGAATATTAGGTTGGAATCTGGGGAGAGTGCAGATGAGCTCCCTCTATCAGCTCCAGCTTCCCATGAGGGACACGAGAAACCACCCACAAGGATAGTAAAACATCAAAAAATCCGGATGTCCCCTGGGCAACATATTTGCAGACGACCAATTCTCTCACACCAGAAGCAACTTGCCATTTCTCAAGTCACTCCTGACACGGAAAAAAAAAGTTCAAGAATAGTGTTTCCAAGCTCATAATTTTGTTGGATTACAGTCCTTCAAGGCTGGGTACTTTGGAGGTTCATCTCTCCTCTATTATGTAACCACGATTCCTTTTGTGGTTTTATTTTATTGTACTTTATATTGTGTTCATTTTTATATCTGTTTTAAGCCATTTTTTGCTGTCTGTAAGCCGTCCCGAGTTCCTTCGGGGAGATGGTGGAGGGATATAAGAATAAAGTTGTTGTTATTGTTATTGTTGTTGTTATTATTATCTTTCTTCCACAAGGAGCAATCCACACTAGTGTTTTAAGGATCCTTCCTCCCTACTGTCTCTTTTTGCAGAATGCTTGACTTGCAGAGTCACTTGGAGATTCTGCGAGGTGTAAAATTAATTTCAGTCTCAGAGGCCGATCTGGAGATTGAGCTGACCTCTCATTCTGAGCCTATGGCCTCTGATCCCCACCGCCTGAGGCTGCATTTACACTGGGCAGATGATGGCACTGTCACACTCAAGGTAAGCAATAATGAGAAGCAAGTGAAGTCCCAAAGAGGTGTGCTTTGCCCAATGACCCTATCTCTCTCTTTTTGTGTATATTTTAGACCGACAGCCCTTTCTTTCTTGTCTCTGCTGTCCTTCCCGTGGGCACCACCAGCACTGTCAGAGGTGCCATCTTGGAGCTGCAGCACAATTTCTTCCAACAGGCACAGCTTCTGTCTGAGATCGAGTCACTGCAGAACTGGTGAGCTTCTGGCCTTCTTTTAGTTTATGTGACTATTTCAGGACCCTAGACTACAGTTAGACCTCCACATTTGATAGGATTAGAGACAAAGTGAAAAATGGCATATGCAATGGGTTTTTCTTTTTTTTGCCAAAAAAACCTCTTATTTATTTACAGTACTTATATTCCACCCTTCTCACCCCAAAGGGGACTCAGGGCAGATCACAGAACACATATACAGCAAACATTAAATGCTGATTATACAATGAAAAAGACAGACAACAGATAGAGGTATATTATATAGGCCTGTTCTCATCATTCAACCTCTTTTGGAGGCTGTACTCAGTTCTGGCCACAGGGGGTGCTGTCGCTCCATCTCCTTGCCGAAGAGCTTTCTTTGTTTGTAAACTTTCCTTTGAAATGCTGTGCCTTAAATACCACTTAATCTGGTTCCTAATCATCTATTCACATTGCTGTTTTCGATCCGGTAGGTAGGTGGGGGAGCTGGGCTGATGGTCAGGATCTCACCCTGACCCGGCTTTGAACTGTCAATTGGCAAGATTTACTGCAGCTGCAGCTGGTGATTAACCTGCTGTGCTAAAACCGGCCCTTAGGGTTGCCATAAATCTGAAATGACTTGAAGACACACAACAAGAAGCTGTAAAATAAAGCGTTGGGTTCCAAAAAGGCCTGCTTTCTTTCTTTTCCCAGAATGCCCATGTTCCCACTTAGGATGCACTGAGGCATCCTTGGGGGGGGGGGGGGGGGGGGGGGGGGAGATAGATTGCAAGCAAACTGAACATCACTTTGAAAACTTATTTTGTGATTTGACGCTTAGGTCTTAGCTTGAATCTATATCTTAGGCAGATTACATGTGCTTTGAGACTAGAAAGTCCATTTTAGCCATTCTGTAGTGGTGCCCACAACTGCTTGTCTTGTTTCCAAATTTACCATGGTTCCATAGAGATCTGAGGTCCCTGGTTGAGGCATTGCCCTATCCTATACGTCAGTGTTTCTCAATCTGGGGACTCCTGGGGGGATGGTGACATGAGGGTATTTCAGAGGGGTCGCCAAAGACCATCAGAAAACATTATTCCTGATGGACTTAAGAACCCCTTTATCAGAGAAGACTGAAGATCTCTCTGCCTGTCCCTCTCTTCCTTTTTGGAAGCAGATGGCGGATCCTCTCACCAGAAGCCCTCCTCCACTGTGATTGGCTGGCCTCTCAGCCAAGGGGAGGGCAGTTTCTGAGACTCCATGTGGGGAGGGGAGCGCATGGCAGCACAGTGCACATGTGCAAGCGAGGGAGTGCGTGCAAGGCTGGAGGGAGGCTCACCCCAGTGAGTCCCTTCACCACAACATGATGAACTGTATTAAGGGGTTGCGGCATTAGGAATGTTGAGAAACACTTCTGGACATGATTTCCATGCAGAGCGGCTAATTGCTTTCAAGAGGCAATGTGAAGTAAAGCATCTCTGTTTTGGCACAGGGTAGTTTCTAATCCCTTTTTTGTATGTGCTTCTGATTGTTGTAGTTTTGCCATTGACTGGCAGCAAGAGAAGAGGCTGTTGCATTACCTGAAGCCATCCTCCACTTGTAGTCTCCATGTAGAACCAGGTTATGCTGCCAATGGAGAAGTCCGCCTTGTTTCAGTAAAGAATCAACATGGTCCAGTTGATGTGACTTCCTACCGGGTTAGTATACAGTATGTCTATCCGTTTTCTCCATTTGCTATCTTCTGACAAAGACTGTGGTTTGGGTCTGCAAGGAATGCCCCAAATGAGTAAAATGAATCCTTTCCAGTGAGTACCATCATATACCAAAATCCAGCAGTCTCAGTTGCATCGTTTTGGCTTTTAGGGAGAGTAATGGCTTGATTTGCTGTAGGACCCATTTACAGGTGTTTTTTTTAAAGCAGTCCACAGTTTCTGCAGAACTCTTCTCCAGTACCATACATCATGCTCGCAACCCTATTTCTCCAACAACATTATTATTTTTCTTATATATCACTACGTCCCTTTCCCACCTCTGGTTCTGAAGCCATTACCATAAAGCTCTTTGTTTTGTTTTGTTGCAGCCCCCACAGGAGAGACCTTCATTGACAAACTGGTTAGTGTACCTTAGTACAATAGACTTCAGTGCTCCTTCCCTTGCCCAGAAAGCTGACCATGTCTGTGCCCCATGACATGGAATTGGGGCTAGAGTTTTTCTCTGAGGGAACACTTCCATGAAGGTGTGAGAAAAAATGAAATCTAACTGGCGCCACTTGCATCCTCCAGGGGTGTTTTTCCTGTGTATATGTATATGTCTATGTTGGGTCTTTGCCTTTATCTCCCATGCTACCTTTTCAGCTTTAATTTCCTCTACCTTGATTTAATCTTTCATCCTTTCCTCTCATTCCTCTCTTCGGACTACTCTTCTTTAGTATTTCTGTTAGTTGTGAGTTCTTCGTACTTTTCTTTTTGAAATGTTTTCTGTTCAATAAAATATTATTTGGATATATTTGTTTGGTTTGGATTGCTTCCTGACTGCTTGAGTTGACTGTATAGAAAACATTGAGTTGGCTGTATAGATAAAGTTCACATATGCATCAGATTTGAAAGAGAATTGGGTGAAAACATCACATAGATGGTATATGACCCCGAAAAAGCTGGGAAAATTTTACAACAACACGACCACAAACCTGTTGGAAATGCAAAGTAAAAGAAGGCTCATGCTATCACATGTGGTGGACATGTGATAGAGCAAAGGGATACTGGAAGAGAGTACAGAAGGAGATCCAAAATATGCTAGAAATAAAAATCCCCTGGAAACCAAAACTAGTTTTATTAGGCATATATGATATAAAATTAGAAAGGAATACAGACAAATTATTATTCTTGATAATAATGGCTGCGAGAATTTGCTTTGCAAGAAGAGGGAAACGAAGAAACACCAGATGAAGACGAATGGTTGACGAAATACTAGAGATTAGAAACATGGATAGACTCACTTTCCTCATGTCAAAGAATAAAGAAACGAGAATGGAAGAAAAGGATTGAATACTGAATACTTGAAACAAAAGAAGAAGACTATTTTGATCTAAACATTGGAAAAAACAAAGAGATGGTAAAAAGGGAGGGAAAGAAAAGGAAGAGAGGGAGAAGGAGAGGAGGAAGAGAGGAGAAAGTAAAGAAGACCTCTAGATGATACCAGAAATTCAAAATACTTCTTTTTATTTTAATTTTTTTCTTTTTCTTCTTTACCTCTTTTTATCTATCATTCTTTTCTACACACAATCTTTCTTCGACTTGGCTTTGACTTATTTTGTTATTCTGATAGCCTAAATTGATTTTGCACATTTTTATTTTTGTTGTGTATTGCTTTTAAATGAAAAATTCAAATAAAGATTATTTTTTTAAAAAAAGAAAATATTGTTTCATTGCCTTCTGGTGCTGTGTTTACATTGCAAAGTGCCCTATGCTTGTACTACTCACCCAAACGGTAATGTCAAAAGTTGTGTCCTGGACTCTATGGGAGTTGCCATTCAAGGACAGCTCCTTTGTCTCTTCCTATTGCAAAATGTTTGTAATTAAGGGCAATCCCTGATGAAGGCCTGAAGCTTCGGGACACTGGAACCAGCTGTGACAGGTAAATAGCATTCATTATTATATAACATACTAGCTTGGGTCATTTTTTTAAATTTTACAAATTAATTTTAATTTGCATAAGGTTGTGGGTGAACTACTATCAATACTTAAAATTTGTCAATTTGGGCAAATTTGCTCTAAATGCATCATCGGTGGGGTTCAGTATGTTCTCCACCTGCAGGATGAATTGCAACTCCCACCATGGTGGGTCAGTCTTGTCAAATCCTTCCAGTACGTTCAGTTGGTCATGGTTCTGTGTGCCAAGTTAGGTCCAGTCCATCAGTGGGATTCAGAGTGTTCTTTGATTGGAGGTAAACTATACACCCCAGTTCCTACAACTAACAAATGTAAAGGCAAATTCCACCCCAAACCTCTCCAGTATTTTTCGTTGGTCATGGGGGTTCTGTTTGCCAAATGTGGTTCAGGTCTATTGTCAGTGGGGATCACAGTGCTCTGACTCGACGCAGGGTGAACTACAGCTTCCATCATGTGGAGTCAATCCCCCAAGCCACTCCAGTATGTGTAGTTGCTGTTCAGTTCTGCTCTGTTTGTTATGCAGACAGAATTGAAAAGTAGGAAAGGGTTAAGGGAGAGGCAGTGGGTTGGGTCATGCAAATCCCATAGAAAATGAATGACTTCCATGCAGYGTTGCCCATAGATTTACACTAGAYTACTCTTTCTTAAATTAGGCCCTGACCCCTTAGCTCAATGTTAGGATCACAAAAAATGGAAACAYMWAAAGGTTTTTGAATATCACCTATACATTTACATATATCTGTTAGCAACAATATGCAGTGTTTACAGTGGACTCTGCAGAAAATGCTTCAGCTGTACTTCATAAAAAGGGAAATCAGCCTGACTAGCAARTTTTGGAAAAGGCTGGTTTATTAGCTCCAAATTTTATACCTATTTATACACCTATGTACCMGGGGTCACATTAAAATGTTTTGGGCAGAAAGGGGCCATTCATGGGGAAAAGGGAAAGCCCAGCATTAGAAGACCCAGAAATTTCTTGAAATAACACCTTTAGTATTTCTAGGGCCTACAGTGAGACTGGCTAACTTTCAGCTGAAGTATAGCATATAATTGTGTTGGAGGCCCTAGAAACTACCTGGTCCCATGGGTCAATGGTTGATCTGGACACAGTTTCTAACACTCAATGAAACCCTATTTCTGGGCACTCCTACTTTTGCATGGGATTAAAAAAATGTTCATTGAGTTATTGAAACAGCAAATAGGGGCATGCCATTTAAGCATATGCATCTTTTAAAAAGTCCCCTTGTGCTGCAGTAGGTTAAACTGCTGAGCTGCTGAACTTGCTGACTGAAAGGTTTGCGGTTTGAATCCAGGGAGCAGGGCGAGCTCCCGGTGTTAGCCACAGTTGCTTCTAACCTAGCAGTTCGAAAACATGTAAATGTGAATAGATCAATAGGTACTGCTTCTGTGGGAAGGAAACGGTTCTCCATGCAGCCATGTCAGCTATATGACTTTGGAGGAATCTACGGACAACACCAAGTGTTAGAAATTGAGATGAGCACCACCTCCCAGAGTCGGACATAACTAAACTTAAATGTCAAAGGGAAACCTTTACTTTTACTATCTATAGGTCTGGTCTTAATCCCATCTTGATTACAACTGTCCTGTTTGGTAGACAGATTTTAAAGAGTTGGCATCCTCTTTAAATCCAGTGTCTGCCTCTTGCAGAATTCTACAAACCCCATTATAGTTGAGTGAGGCCCAGGGCCTCTCTGGCTGCACATCTGAAAGGTCTCTCCCTAAACTGCAACTCCTCCAGTACAACAGGAGAAGCAGCCATAGAATTTAAAATGGGATACCAATGCTAACACTAGTAATCTAACAGAGCAGAGATAGTATCTTTATTGGGATGAGCCTGACGTCCAGCCACACGGTGGTGCTGTCGAAGCACGGTTCTTTGTCAGATATGCCCTTTTGTGAGGCTAAGGATGTAATGAAAAGGGCCTCTTCTCAGGAGGATGATCCCAGAATGTGCATGTGGCAAAATTAACACAGAGGCTTCCTTTTGCACTTCAGGAAATGATGTGATAAATTAATGGGACTCTTGCAAGAAGTGTCCAGGTGTTTTTAATGAGGTTTCTCACCTGCTGCCATTAAACCATCTTGTCGCAAATGCTGGCTGTGAACTGGAGTTCTTGAGGACCAGTTTTCTGTGTGGTTGTGCCAGTCACATTGGCATTATGTGGATATAGGCACATGCAAGCCTCATTGTGCTCGCAGTTTTGGAAATATAATTGCATGTGACTTGGAAAGAGTTTGCATTTGCTTCCCTGTTCCTTGATTATCCCAGATAATCAGGTTTGGTGATTCAGTGACATGGATCAGCGAGGATACAAGGCAAAGGGCTTCAGGGGCGGGTTGTTGTAGGTTTTTTCGGGCTATATGGCCATGTTCTAGAGGCATTCTCTCCTGACGTTTCGCCTGCATCTATGGCAAGCATCCTCAGAGGTAGTGAGGTCTGTTGGAACTAGGAAAAAGGGTTTATATATCTGTGGAATGACCAGGGTGGGACAAAGGACTCCTGTCTCCTGGAGCTTGGTGTGAATGTTTCAACTGACCACCAAGTCTACATAGGGACCACTAAATGCAGCATTGCCCAAACATGAATCAAGGAACATGAAAGGCACTGCAGACTACTTCAACCAGAGAAATCAGCCATAGCAGAGCACCTGATGAACCAACCTGGACACAGCATTTTATTTGAGAACACAGAAATGCTGGACCACTCTCACAACCACCATGTCAGACTACACAGAGAAGCCATTGAAATCCACAAGCATGTGGACAATTTCAACAGAAAGGAAGAAACCATGAAAATGAACAAAATCTGGCTACCAGTATTAAAAAAAACTCAAAAATTACAACAGCAAAACAACAGAGAGTAAACAATCAGGCACATCAAATCACTCTCAACAAAAGATTCCCCCCAGGCACTTCCAAGCCATTAAATACTAATCAAGGTGTTCAGTTGAAACAGTCACACTTAGCTCCAGCAGACAAGAGTCCTTTGTCTCACCCTGGTCATTCCACAGATATATAAACCCCTTTTCCTAGTTCCAACAGACCTCACTACATCTGAGGATGCTTGCCATAGATCCAGGCGAAACGTCAGGAGAGAATGCCTCTAGACCATGGGCATATAGCCCGAAAAAAACCTACAACAACCCAGTGATTCTGGCCATTAAAGACTTTGACAATACGAAGGAGTGGCTGTTAGTCAAAAGGTAATTTTACAAACCAGTATGGATTTTTAGACATTCCCCCTCCTTTTCAGCAATTCCACTTTTAGTTATTATTGGAAAAGTAAAGCAGCTTCCCGATGTGTGGCATGTGTATGACGTCACTCTAGTTTCTCCTTGTTTTAGCTCTTGAATAAAGCTCATCTCGCTCTCCCAACCCCCTTGCTGCTGACTTAAATGTGGGGCAGGCAAGGGGGATATTGTTGGGGATCAGCCTGACTTAGGTTAAGAGGGTCTGCATTTCCAGGGAGGCTAGAGCGGTAAAGAAGGAGTTGAGGGTTTTGTCTGCTGCATGAGAGATAAGTGGGTCTGCCTGGCATGTAATGAGAGAGGATCAAGGGAGGATGGATGGATGCGTGACGTAAATGAGAAGGGGAGAGGAGGCAAGGGGAAGAATGGGGGCAAGCTACTCAAAGGCTACAGAGAACTTATGGTCTTCTAGATCAGGCATCCTCAAACTGTGGCCCTCCAGCTGTTTGGGCCTCTAAATCCCAGAAGCCCTAACAAGCTTGAAGACCCAAACAGCTGGAGGGCCGCAGTTTGAGGATGCCTGCTCTAGATGTTGAGGCATAATGGGAGTGGTAGTGCCACAGCTTCT